GTAATGTGCAGGTCAAGGGAAGCTGGGTCCCACTTGGCCTTTCGGTTAAGGGAGCCAGATCCCACATGGCCTACTGTGGTTTCAGTCCCTGGCCTGCTCCACCTGAAGCATGCTGGGCCTGCATGAGGGTGCCAAGATTCAGTAGGCTGGAGGATTGGAGGAAGGGGATTGTGATGCGACCAGACCTCGTGGAGGGTGCTTCTCTCTCTCTTGTGTAAGCGCACGTGGTCTATTATGAATAAAGGGGAAAAATGAGATGAGACCAGGGAGAAAGAGGTTCTCTTTGCTGGGAAAAGGGGTTTTGAAAATCTGAAAATGGAAACATTTTAAAAGACATAGAAAAACAATCTTCAATTGAAGAAGATAATTTATTTAAAGAGGTCTTTGGAATCATTGGATAAGAGTAGCAGTTTTTTTGTAATAATGCCAATGGTTGTAAATGATATCTTTTTTCCCTTTTAAATTGCCAGAGAGCACGTATATGTTCCAGAGGCAGACAGAGAGAGAGGAACATACTCAACAGGGTCTGGTCATACCCTCCTCTCTGATCTGGAGAGGGAGAAATCACCCCTCACTAGATTATAGTCACTCCACAATCTCTTCTCTTCCATTTCTCCATCCTGTTGGGAATCTGAGCATGCACATACACGTGCCTGGCATGTTTTTTTTTTTTTTTTTGAGAGATTTTCGCTATAGGGCGCGTGCGCTCGCCAGACAGACAGAGAGAGACATAGAGACAGAAAGCGAGAAATCACCCCCCAGGGGGGATGGTCACGCCGCAATCCCTTCTCCTCCATTCTCCTCTCGGGATCTTGGGCACGCACGCACACGCGCCCGGCGTGAGTTCTAAGCCACCGGGTCCGGGACACGAACCGCGGTCGACTACGTGGGAGTCCAGCGACATAGCCATTACGCTAACTGCTGGTTCCCATGCCTGGCATGTTTTTCAAGTCACCCATGTGCCTTCTGACTCCCTTAACCACTAGGCCACAGGACTGGCCATGAATGGTATTTTAATAAACTTAAAAATCTGAGCATACATGTCATCTATTCCTAGTGAAGATGTCTTAATGTCACCATAAGGGAGATGCAGATTAAAACCACAATGAGATACCACTTAACCCCTTTCAGAATGGCAAAGATTAAAAATACAAAAAATGATAAGTGTTGGTGGAGTTGTGGTAAAAGGGGAACTATCCTACACTGTTGGAGGAATGTAAATTGGTCCAGCCACTATGGAAAACAATATGGAGGTTCCTCAGAGACCTACAAATAGAACTACCATATCATCCAGCAGTTCCACTTCTGGATATCTACCCAAAGAACAGGAGAATGCTCAGTCAGAAAAGTACACATCAATGTTTATTGCAGCATTATTCATGATTGCTAAGACATAAAACCAACCCACATGTCCATGAACAGATGAATGGATTGAAAAAGTGTGGCACATATACTGTATGGAATGCTATTCAGCCATAAAAAAACAAGAAGACCCTGGCGTTTGATAGAAAGTGGTCAAATATGGAAGATTTATTGCTGAGTGAAGCAAGCCAGGCTATGAAAGAGAGATATTGTATGTCTCTATATACCAACTATCCGCACTTTAAGGTAGAGATTAAAATATTGGAGGACAGAAAAGCAGTAAAATTAGTTACGGACACTGGAGACAGTGTGGAAGGAGAGTAAAAGAGGAAGAGTATAGGGAAGGAAATCAGGGAGAAAAAATAGAGAGGCAAGATGTTTATGGGATACAGAAATGGTTTATTACCTGTTGATGATAATGTGTATAGTACTCTCAACTGGACTGGTCTGAGGCATATTTCATGTTGGGTAAATTCTCTTAAAAGCCAAATGATGTATAACAATAGAATGTTTAAAAACAAATAATAAAAAAGGAATAAACTTATGAACTGAGTTAATACATGCAAACTACATCAAACACTGCTGTTTTAGTCTGTGTAGACATTAGCTATTATTCTTTTCCTTTTATCATTTTGAGGTTTATATTTTCATGTTTCAAAAATAAAAGTATAGCAAATGAAGCTTCCCATCCCATAATTCCAATTTTTAGTAACTATTTTCACCTGATTAAATATTTACATCTCTAGCATAATTTGTGGAGTAACTTTCTTCTTCAATTTTTTTTTTTTTTTTTAAATGAGATTTGCTAGCTTTGGGATAATGATTATGTTGTTGCACTCCCACATAGTGACTGCAGTTCCATTTCGGCACCCAGTGGCTTAAAACTCACGCTGGGTGTGTGTGTGTGTGTGCCCAAAATTCTGAGCAGAGAATAGAGAAGAAAGGATTGCAGCATGGCCTTCCTCCCTGGGGAGTGATTTCTCACTTTTTATCTCTGTCTCTCTGGCCAGCACACGTGCCCTATAGCATAAAATCTCTCTCAAAAAAATAAAAAAAAAAAAAAAAAAAAAAAAAGGAAATAAAAAAAGATTTACTAGCTTCATTTATTCATTAAATTCATAAAACGTTTACTATATTTCTTTTTGTTGTAGGTCTGGTGTGCTTGCCAGAGAGAGAGAGAGAGAGAGAAATTATCCCTGGAGGGGATGGCCATGCTAGAATCCCTTTTCTATTATCCTTTCAGGATTTTGGACATGTATGCATATGCATCTGACTTGTCTTTTAAGCCACTGGGTCTGGGACTTGAACCATATAGTCAGCCATGTTGGATTCAGCTGCCTTAACACCACTGCCACCTAGTTGGCCCCATAACATGTTTATTATATACCAAGTAGAAATACCACTCTGCTATGCAGTGCTAGGGAATTGAGTTAAACAACAATCTATGTCCTTAAGTGCTCTCTGTATTATAAGGGACATAGACATATATACCTGCAGACCTGTGGCAGGAAGAATACTATAAAAATGATTTTATTTTTCTGGCATGATTGTTATTATAAGATAAAAAAAAGGTGATACTTTATATATTCTGGAACCATAATATTATCATTTCCTTGTTAGTGAATCTGTATTTTCAGGAATTCATCTGGCTTTTTTTTGTTTATGAATAATAAGTTTCATGAAAGAGAGAGAGAGAGGGAGGAAGGGGAAGGGAGAAATAGATTTCGGGGAGGGTATTGCTGTGTTGTAATCTTCCTGGGTCAATTTCCAATTTAGCTGGAATTAGAGGCACTCCTCTAGGCCCCAGGAACCAAACCTGGCCCTCCCATGTGCCTTCCGGCCGTCAAAGCAATGTACTCGGTCCTGTGTGTCACCCTGGGCCCAGGGATGCATTTCTTGAATTGAAAAGTTCTGTGACATAGAATTAAAGCTATGAGAAACATCACATTTTATCTGCTACATGGTTTCCTGAGTCAGTGATTTAGTTAAATGACAGAATAATCATTTTTGTATTTTTAAGACATTGAGTTAATTTATCCTTTAAACTCCTTTGTTTTAGATCCCCAATTTTCTGCATTTGACTCCTGTAGCAATTAAAAAGCACTGTGAAGTTCTTAAAGGTGAGCATTTTGTTATATGAACTTTATATTGATTCAGGCCATAAAACTAAGACTCTCAGTTCTAATATATTACATAGCATTCATAGCATTATATTCTAAATCGTCCATTTCTCCTTTTTAAAAAAAAATTTTTTTGATATAGAGTATGTTCCCTTGCTAGAGAGATGGGGAAGGGAGGGTGTGAGGGAAAGAAAGAAAGTGAGAAAACACTTTCTGGGGGATGGCCACCCTGCAGCCCATTGTCTTTTGGGAATTTTGGTCACGTACACACATGAGACCGGCGTGTTTTTCAATCCACTATGTCCGGCACTCGAGCCATGCGGCCAACTTTACCACCATGCCACTAGCTGGCCCACTTTCTCCTTTGTTTTTTAAAAAAAAAAATTCTTCTATTTATTTATTATTACTGTTATCGTTGTTTTCATTTGATCAGAGAAAGAGACAGAGAGAGGAAAAAGTGCAAAGCAAGCTGCCAGATCTGAGACGCAAACCATGGTCAGCCATGTGGGAGTCCAGCGTCTTGAACCACCATGCCACCTGCAGGCCCTAACTTCCTCCTTTTTTTAAGAGGATTTTTTAGGTTTTCTGTGAATTGTTTTATGTCAAATTGCAAGTTTTTTGTTTTGTCTATCACCTTACAAGGTGCTGTGAATAATAAGTTGGATTAGAAGCCATAATCACTGCTCACAGTTGGTTAGTGATTTACTGTTGAGTTATGGAGAACACATATATAAAAAGACTGAAGAAAATAGGCAGTTTTGCCAACAGATGTAATTCGGTATGATTCAAACAGATAGTGTTGAAGGGTGCTGAGTAGCAGGGTAGTCAGTGTGTTCAGTAACGGGATTCACAGAGAGGAGTTCTCTTGAAGAAATGGTTTAACATTTTATACATATATGTATGTGTGTGTGTGTGTGTGTGTGCGCATGTGTGTATGTCTGAGATACATGCCTGTGGTAAATCAAATCGGAGTAGAGCTTGTGATGAAAAGCAGTAGTCTTACATGCTGCTTCCCTGTCCCCAGCTTTTCATCACAGAAGTGTTCTCTCTTAATCATTACTTAGTTCTAGTAACTACTCTCAGAGAGAGAAGATGGTGTGTGTGTGTGTATTTATTTATACTTAAATAGCATATATTCCCTCTGTACGTGTAATAGAAGCAATCATCAGAATATGGTTATAGTTGCCATTCTGAATTTATTTTTTATTTAAATAATTATTGATTTAATTTTATTGATTGTTTCATTTATTTTAATTTGACCAGAGGGAAAGTGGGAAAGCAAGCCACCAGGTCTAGGACTTGAGTTGTGGTTGGCCATGCGGGAATGTCCAGCACTTTAACCACCACACCACCTGCTGGTCTCCATTCTGAATTTATTAATTTTGAACAATAGCTGTTGATTCTTAGAAACAAACCTAGATTTCATGAACTTATACTGCTACTCCTCCTTCCTGTGTGCATGGAGATAGAGGCAAATAGCATTTTTTGTTCATGGGTCTATGTGTGTTTCCATAATTTTGTACATACTCCAATTAATTTTCTGATTTAGTTGCATTGAGCTCTGTATAAGAGATGCACATTTGAATTATTTCAGGTTCACAGCTGTTAGTAATAGATTTTTTAGTTAGTTCAAACATTAGTACCTTTGGGTACAGTTTTCACATATTCATGCAGATTTAAAGATGATACACAGATACTTGTTAAAGGCTTTGCAGGAAAGAAAATGAAACCAAGAAACATGGAACAAGTAGTCTGATTCTGTTGGAAGAAGACATATAGGATAGTGATTATCATAATTAATCATAATTTAATCATGATTAAATTTGACTTTTTGGGAGGATCTTCCATTCAAAAATATAAGAGAGAAGCTTTTTTTTTTCTTTTTTTCTTTCTTTTTTTTTTTGAGAAGTTTTTGCTATAGGGCACGTGCGCTCGCCAGACAGAGAGAGACAGAGAGATAGAAAGCGAGAAATCACCCCCCAGAGGGGATAGTCACACCGCAATCCCTTCTCCTCCATTCTCCTCTCAGGATCTTGGGCACACACGCACATGCGCCCGGCGTGAGTTTAAGCCCGGGACTCGAACCACGGTCAACTACGTGGGAGTCCAGCGACATAGCCATTAACGCTAACTGCTGGTCCCCAAGAAAGCAGCTTTATAGAGGCTCTAAAACATAGGAATAATAACCTCACTCCTTAGATGAGGTAGGAAAAATCTATTTCCTTTCATTTATGTGATCCTCTGTTTTGGAACATTAACTAGAATGCCTTTTTAACCTTTTAGATACGTGATTCCATATTCATTTGTGCCTGAACTGATCACCATTTCTAATTCATGCCCATATGGCACAAATCATGTATCAGTTTTTGGTTCTCTGTAAAGCCAGTGAACAAATGAATTACAATGTGATGATGTCCATTTTTTCTCCATTTTAAATATTATTTAAGCTAGTCTTCTAAATGAAATATTTCTTCAACACTACTTAAATGTTCATACAGTACATTTAGCGGAGTAGCATTATTTTTTATACTAATTAAAGTGAATGTTTTAATTTTTTCCTTAATTATGCCTTTACATTTCTGCCAGCTTCTGGACTTCTAACTCCAAGGCTTTTCAAATATTTCTTCTCAGTTTTCTTTCAAAGTGGGTCAGTTCAGATTTTATATCTAACTTGCAAGTGGAAAATGTGAAGTACAGGAAAGTTAGGTAATTTACCAAAACTTTAATAATCAGCAGTAAAAATTAAATAAAAACCAAAGTCTTCCAAAGTCTGCCTATCAGATGAGTAAAGGCAAATAGGAGTCTATCATGTACTTTCCAGTTGGCTGTGTCCTTTTAGATGTACAATTTTGGTAATTTAATTTAAAACCTGTAATTATCATCTGGTGATTGAAATGAATTATTCACCGTTTAAAAAAAAAAGATTTGGTGCAAACCAAAGAGCTCAGAAAATTCCCCATACTAGTCTTTCTTATAACATGCTTGGCAGTAATGCATCTTATAATGCAGGATATTAGAATTAGTCCATGATAAGAGTGAAATTCAACCTCAGTAATCTTGCTGGGGTTTGTTTGTTTGTTTGTTTTTTGTTTTCAATTTTTGCCATAGTGTGCCTGTGCTTGCAAGCAAGCGACAGAGATAGAGAGAGTGTTGAGAAATCACTGCCAGGGGGCATGGCAATACCACAGTCCCCTCTCCTCTACTCTCCTCTTGAGATTCGGGTACGCACAATCAGCACCCAGCATGATTCCCAAACCACCAGGTCCTGGACTTGAACTGCAGTTGGCTGTGTGGAGTTCAGCCACCTGACCCACCACTCCACCCACTGGTCCCACTCTTTATTTTTAATATTAAAATGTGTTTAATTATAAGGAGATGTCCTTCCTTTCAAAGTGACTGAGTATTGATTTTTTTTTAAATTATTTTTTTAGAGATTTTTGTAATAGTGTATGTGCACTCACCATAGAGACAGAGACAGACAGAAAGTGAGAAATCACCCCCCAGGGGGATGGCCACACTGCAATCCTTCTCATCCATTCTCTCAAGATTTGGGGCACACATGCGTATGCACCCAGCATGAGTTTTAACTACTGGGTCCGGGACTCAAACCGTTATGGACTGACTACGTGGGAGTCCAGTGATGTAACCATTACGCCATCTACTGGTCCCAAGTATTGACCTTTTAAACAGGGTATTTAGGAAACCGTGAGACCTATACTTAATTTGCTAAAATGTATTTAGCTCCAGGTATCAGGATGTTTGTAATCCAGAATGATGTTTTCCTGACTCTAATTTTTTTTTCTTTTTAACAATTATTGTTATCATTATTTTTCAATTTTGACCAGAGAGAGACAGATAGGCAGAGAGACAGAGTAAGCCGCCAGGTCCAGGACTCAAACCACAGTCAGCCGTGTGGGAGTCCAGCACCTTTATCCACCATGTCACTGGCTGGCCCCTGCTGACTCTAATTTTAGAGCCTATCTTAAAGCTAATAATGCCTACTGTAAGAAAATTACTAGGTCGGGAAATGTCATTGGCAAAGAATTCTCCTTGTCCTTTAGTTATCACCTAAAGGAGTTCCCTCACTGCCTTTTAATCTCCTGCAGTTGTGATTTTTGGAAGAATTGTGGATGCATGAGGCATAACGTATTTGACCTAACAAATTAACTGTCCTTGGAGTGAGGCTCTCAAAACCTTGAGATTTCTACTGAGGGGGGCCTGATAGTTCCTAAAAGTTTTCATCCCAAGCTAGCCCTCCACCACACTAACTTGTACGAATAGGGCAGGATGAAATAAGCGACTGGTATCTGTGAGAGGCTGGGAGCTACCTCTTCCTTGAAGTCCCTCCCCGCCTCTCTGTCGGGGCCTAAGTTCCCACCTGTATGCTCTGTGTGCGGAGTTTGTAGTGCTTGGAACTTCCTGTTTTGGCCTAGTCTCTGACCCAGTTCTACCTCCTCTAGGCTTCTTTGCCCAAATTTGAAGACAAGTCTGTTTCTCTTTCCATTTAACCCTGTTGGCACCTGGAAGTCATAAACAAAACACATGAGTTACTGGAACGGTCCGTTTAAGGATGACCAACCTGGGCTTTTATACCTGTTTGAGTTGAATCTCTATTCCACTCAGCTTCTGGAAGATCACTGACCATATCTCATTGCCCTCTTAGAGCTTTTCTAGAGCTTCTCTCAGTTCCTTCCGCTGACTATAGTAACCGTCCCTGAAATATTCAAATATCCACATTTTTCTCTTAATTACATTCCCTAATTAGGATGTACCTAACAAGAATAGGGATAAAGAATGATGATGTGTATGTGAAGGGCAGAAGAAAATCTGTTCTTTCAAGTACCCTGAAAATGATCTTGATAATTTGATATTGTCTGGTAGCATGCATTACAATACAAACTTACCTGCAAAACTGTAATTAAGACCTTCTTTTAATTCTCAGATTTTTGCACTGAGTGGCCAGCTGCGCTAGACAGTGATGAGAAATGTGAGAAGCATTTTCCAATTGAAATTGATACAGCTGACTATGTTTCATCAGGACCATCTATTCGAAACCCCAGAGCACGGGTGGTAACCTTAAGGGTAACAGATTTTTTTTTAAAAAATAAAAATCATTGTAATACATGATTTAATAATACATTCTGTATGTGATTATAAAACTAATACAAGTTTGTGGTAGAAAATTTGAGATATTATAATGTTTTAAGTTCTAAAGTGGTATTTCATTGTATTTTTGACTTACATTCCCCTAATGACTAATGATATTCAGCATCTTTTTTATTCTTTTTTCCTTCAAATGCCAGGAGCATGTGTGCTTACCAGAGAGAGAGGGAGAGAGAGGGAGAGGGAAAAAGCACCCCCCAGTAGGGAGTGGTCACTCCATATGCATTTCTGCACTTGGTCGAGATTTTGGGTATGCATACACATGCACCCAGTTGTTTCTCAAGCCTCTGAGGCCAAGATTTGAGCTGTAGTCAGCCATGAGGGATACAGTGCCTTTAACTTCTAGGCCATAGGGGTAGCCCAGTGTTGAGCATCTTTTCATGTTTATTGACTATTTGTATTTCTTTTTTTGAGAAACACCTACTCAAGTCTTGCTTATTTTAAAATTGGTTTTCTTTTTATTGTTGAGTGGTAAGTGTTTTTTTTTTTTTTTTTTGTATATATATTCTGGTTACCTGTCCCTTATCAGATATATGATTTGCAAACATTTTCTTTCAGTCTCTGAGTTGTTGGCTTACTTTCTTGTGTGTGTGTGTGTGTGTGTGTGTGTGTGTGTGTGTGTGTGTTTTCTTTTTTTTTTAAGCATAGAAGTTTTAATTTTGGTGAAGTCCAATTTATGTATTTGTTCTTTGATCTCATGTGTTTTGTGTCACATCTAAGAGACTATCGTTTAATGCAAGTTCTTGAAGATTACCCCTGTGTTCTCTTCTAACAGTTTTGTAGTTCTAGTTCTCATATTTAGGTCTCTGATCCATTTTTAGTTAATTATTGTATGTGACATGTGGTAGGGGTCAACTTCATTCTTTCGTTTGTCATTCTAATGTTGCAAAGACTCATTGAGTTGTCTTGGTACCCTTGTCAGAAATTGTATAGTTATCACCTGGCTACTTCACTACATGTTCTCTTGAACAATTTTATTTTATTTTTTTTTATTTTCTTTTTTTTTTAGAGATTTTTCACTGTAGGGCGCGTGCGCTCGCCAGACAGACAGAGAGAGACATAGAGACAGAAAGCGAGAAATCACCCCCCAGGGGGGATGGTCACGCCGCAATCCCTTCTCCTCCATTCTCCTCTCGGGATCTTGGGCACGTACGCACACGCGCCCGGCGTGAGTTTTAAGTCACCGGGTCCGGGACACGAACCGCGGTCGACTACGTGGGAGTCAAGCGACATAGCCATTACGCTAACTGCTGGTTCCCCCTTGAACAATTTTAAAGGTAGGGAAAAGTATAATAAACACCCATATACATGGCACCTTGATTTAGTAATTAATTTTTTTTTAATTGCCAGAATGCACATTCGCTCGCCAGAGAGTGTAAAAGAGATTGAGAGAGAGAAAGCACCCCCAGTTGGGGGGTCACACCACAGTCCTTTTTCCTTCCTTTCTCCAGCCTGTAAGGATTTTAGGCTTGTATGCATTTTTTTTTTTTAAATGACCAGAGGATGCATGTGCTCACCAAAGAGATAGAGAGAGGGAGAGGAAGAAAGCACTCCTCAGTGGGGTGTGGTTGGTCATGCAACATTTTCTCCTCCGTTTGTCCACCCTGTCAGGATTTTGGGCACGCAGGCACATGAACCCAGCTTGTTTTTCAAGCTGCCAGAGCCAGAATTTGAATTGTGGTCTGCTGTGTGGGCTTCAGCTTCCTTAGCCGTTAGGCCGCAGGGCCTAGTCATTTTTTACTGCTAATTTGCTTTGCTAGTATTTTATTTAGGATTATTTGTCCTGATTCCATATTACTTTGGAGAAACATCAAAGCGGCTCCTCTTACTGCCATTGCATTTCCAAGTGTCTGTGGTAGGAACCTCTAATTTAGTATTTGAAACCACCGTTGGTCAAAGAAGTCTGATGTACATGGCAAATGTGTTTTCACAGAGCAGTCATGGGACAGTTAGCTAGCATACTTTTTTTTAGTAGAACTTTTTATTTCAGAGTAGTTTTGAATTTACAGAAAAGTATCAAGAATAGTACAGAGGGAGCCTATGTATTTCACACTCAGTTTCTCCTATTGTGACCATCTCACATTATTGTATGGTACAGTTACCACAACTAAAAATTAATATTAATACATTATTATTAAAGCTCTTTATTTGTATTTTCACCTAATGTCCTTTTCTGTTCTAGAATGCCACCCAAGTTACCACATTACATTCAGTTATCATGTCTCCTTAGGCTCCTCTGGGCTATGACCTCGACAGTCTTGACAAGTACTAGTTAAACATTTTAAAGAATGTTTTTTGGTTTGTTATGTCTTTCGGGGAGGAAAACCCTGGAAATAGTGTCTTTCTCATCTTGTCATTTCAAGGAAAGATGCTGTTAACGTGATCTGATATTGATGATGCTAACCTTGGTCTCCTGGCTGAGGTGGTATTTGTCAGTTTTTCTCTGCTATAAAATTATTGGTTTTTTTTCCTCTTCTTGTCATACAGTATGAAAACATCAGTTCCTCCTAAGTGACACGTTAGGAGGAAAATGCGTACATCATTCATCAGATTAATGTGGATCTGTCTATTCTCCTCATGTATTTATTCAGTCATTTATTTATGTGAATATAGACTCGGATATTTATCTTATACTCGGGTTATAATCCAGTAGTACTTTATTTTCAGGTTGTGCAGGTTTCGGCCATTGGGAACTTCCCTCTTGGTTTTGTTTTTAATTCTGCCAGAGGCCCACGTACTTGCTAAAGAGAGACAGAAGATGAGAAAGCATCCCCATGGAGACGGTCACATTGCAATCCCATCTCCATTTCTTCCTCCTCTTGGGATTTTGGGCATACATGCACATGTGCTTGGCATGAACTGCGCAGTTGACCACATGAAATCCAGCAGTCCTAACCACAAACCCACGGGCTGACCTGAGAGCTACTCTTAGAGTTGGTTCCTCTGTCCCTTTGTCACGCTCTCATTGTTTGTTGGTAAACATTTCTTTATTTTCTGGCACTACAAAATGCTCTAGTCTCGTTTTATGCATTCCCTATTCCAATCCTTAAATCATCCATTTCTCCAAGGAACTGTGACTAATGTACTTCAGTTCATCTGGAGGAGGATTGCCTGCCTCCTTGTGATACCTTCTCAAAACTTACTTAACTTGTAGGTTAGGGTAAGGGTTTAGGGTTAGGGTAACATACATTGAAAAAAATTGTTTAACTTTATGTATCCTGTATTTTAGGCTATAAACATTCTAAGTATACTACAAAAATGCATTGAAAAAAATCTATGGAAGTATTTTTACATTATGAGCTAACAAATAGACAAATTTTAGTTTCTAGAATTTTCTTCAGTAATACAGCTGTGATTTATTTGTATTTATATTTCTTTGGTAGTTTTTGGTATCAGAGTTGTACCATTTTTATGAACTGAATTTATGGAGCTTTGCAGCTTTTTTTTTTTTTTTTTTTTTTGAGAGAGGTTTTTGCTATAGGGCATGTGTGCTTGCCAGAAAGACAGAGAGACAGAAAGCGAGAAATAGGGATGGCCACACCACAGTCCCTTCTCCTCCATTCTCCTCTTGTAATCGGGCACACACGCACACGTGCCTAGCATGAATTTAAACCATCGGGTCCAGGACTTGAACCGTGGTCGACTACATGGGAGTCCAGTGACATAGCCATTACGCTAACTGCGGGTCCCTTCAGCCTTTATTTGATACCATAGATATCATAGCACCATATTTATGTTTTTAGATTGATTAAAAATGTTTTAAAATCACAAAAGATTATAATATTTACTGCACAAAATTCAGATAAACAAAAAGGAAAAAAAGAACTGAAATTCTACCATGTGTACATCATTCATCAAATTAATATGAAATGCTTATGGAGTAATACCTGATATATTTTTTTTCCCCCAAGAGATTTTTGCTATAGAGTGTGTGCACTCGTCAGAGAGACGGAAAGTGAGAAATCACCCCCCGAGAGGATGGCCATGCCACAATCCCTTCTCTGTTCTTGTCTTGGCATTTTGGGTATGCATGCACACGCTCCCAGTGTGAGTTTAAGCTGCTGGGTCCGGAAGTCAAACAAGCAATATAACCATTACACCATCTGCTGGTCCTTCCTGGTACATTTTTAAGCACTTATGAAGTGTTACCTGTTTTTTGTAAACACAATAACCACAACCAGCAGTTGTCAGAGCTTTGTGTTGTCTATTGAAAGCTCTCAGACCTCAGGTTCCGGAAGCAGATTCTGCTCATGTTCTTCACCCCCCCTTTCATGTGACATTAGTCTTCAGTGTGAGAACAGACATCGAGAGTCTCTGCTGGTTCTCCACATGCTTATTTTATTCCTCACAAAAGTAATCTCATTGCTTTATTTGACGTATGCTGCCTGGTCTCATTTATAGTCATTCTGCCATCCCCTCTTGTCGCCTTTCCATGTCCTGTGCCACCTGCAGTACCATCGTCATTGCTCCCTTGGGTCCCTTCTGCTTGACGCACATCTGCCACTCTGGGCTCCCTGCTCACTCACCGTTGAGGCTCAGTGCTGTTCCTGCATGTTGTCTCATAGTTCAAGGGTAAAAGATGAAACAGTGGGACGAAGGCACGTGCCATCCCACATGATTAAAGCAGCATCATGTGACCCAGCCGTGGTAGTAGTACCTACTGGTAGACACTGCCCCTGGGCAGGCTGAGGCCACATGAGAGGCCCAGTCCAGTTCCTGGCCCACCGTAGAAAATGGGTGCTTAGAGTTCCAGTGCTCAGGATTGTGAGGCAGGAACATCACAACCTAGTGAGACCCTGTCTTAAAATAAAGCAGTATTATGTAGCCAAGTATAAAATAAGGCCAGCCCCCAGCCTAGTTAAAGGGAATCACATCCCATGTGTCCAACAGCTGTTTGAAGCTCGGCCCCATGGGTTGAAAAGAACACGCTAGGCATGTGTGCACGTGCCCCAAATCCCAACAGGATGGAGAAATGAAGAAGGGATTGTAGCATGACCATGCGCCATTGGGAGGTGCTGCCTCACTCCCCCCAGCCTATCTGTAGTGAGCACTGTCTGTTTATAGTGAGCACTGTCTGTCTGTAGTGAGCACACGTTCTCTCTGGCAATCAAAAAAATTTTTTTTTTATATTTTGGACAGACTCAACTTTTTAATTTGCAGAAAGGTTTTTACTGTGTTTTTCACGATAGTCCTAAGAGTAGTTTAGAATTACGACTCCGCGTATATATGTGTATGACTTTACTTTAAAAGTGCTTGCTTCTGTTACTCTCATTTATTGCTGACAGATATCCCATGAACTAAGTGGCCCTAAGGAAACTGAGTCTCAAGGAGTTCAAATGATTGTGTAAGGTCGTACATAGCGAGTGGCAAATGTAGACATCAAACCCAATAATTCTTGTCTGATGTGCAGTTCCAAAGTTCTTTAACCACATCATACTTGTATATAAAAGAAATATTTTATACAGTTAGACGTCTCTCAATTTATGTAGCATAAAATATAGCCATTTTAAAGTGGATATATAACTACAACCTTCTGTAGTTTGATATGTTAACATTATTTTGGGATAATGTTAGTAATACAGTACCAATGCTTTGAAATATAGCAGCTTGGAAAAAATCTAAGAATTATTTAAAAATTCAGTTAAAGGGGAAAAAAGGCAATAGATGCCATCTAGTCTTGAAGTTAGTATGTTAGTCCAAGTTAAAGACTAAGATTTTGCAGTGCCTTTGAGTACTAGCAGGTGGCGTGAGTGCACCACACAACTGCTTCTGAAATACATGATTCTGCCATAAACTTTATATAGTTCTTGAACATTGAAGTTTTAATGTGAATATGAATTTTAAAGCTGTTAAAATAATAAGCATCACTGCCACTTTTTAAAAGAATTATTTTTAATTTTATTTACTCGTTCATTCGTTTATTTATTTTTATTTTTATTTTGACCAGAGAGAGACAGAGAAAGAGAGAAAGTGACAAAGCAAGCCACCAGGTCCGGGACTCAAATCACGGTTGGCCGTGTGGGAATGTCCAGTGCCTTAACCACCACGTCACCTGCTGGTCCCACTGCCACTTTTTTTGACCACTTACATAAAAAGCTAGAACACTTACATTTAAAAATTTTTTAAATTTGGGAACCAGCAGTTAGCGTAATGGCTATGCCGCTGGACTCCCACGTAGTCAACCGTGGTTCTCATCCCGGACCCGGTGGCTTAAAACTCACGCCGGGCGCGTGTGCGTGTGTGCCCAAGATCCCGAGAGGAGAATGGAGGAGAAGGGATTGCGGCGTGACCATCCCCCCGGGGGGTGATTTCTCGCTTTCTATCTCTATGTCTCTGTCTGTCTGTCTGGCGAGCGCACGCGCCCTATAGCGAAAACCTCTCCAAAAAAAAAATTTATATTTATTGTTAAAAACTACAATTTTATGGAAGGGAAGTTTCTTTTAATTGTATAATTTTAACACTTTTTCTCGAGGGTGATCCATTTTTTAAAATTAAGATTTCTGGTTTACTTACATAGACGTGTGCCATAGTATTTTTTTTTAAACATGCACATAATGTACAATAGTCAAATCAAGGATGTATATTTAATCTTCTTCCACATGGAACATTACATTATGCTATACGCAGTTGTTAATAGTTCTACTAGGTTCTTTTTTTTAAAAAAAATTATTTAATTCCCTTTGTTGTTATTATTATTATTTTTAATTTGACCAGAGAGAGACAGGAAAAGTGAGAAACCAAGCCACCAGGTCTAGTATTCTAACCATGGTCAGCTGTGTGGGAATCCAGTGTGTTTAAACACCACGCCACCCTGCCGGCCCCTCTGCTAGGTTCTTTTGAGCTGTGTATCACGTTGTCCATATTTTTACTCCGCTGTGATATCCTGTCCGATAGCTTCTTCCCCTATTTACTTGCTTCCATGTGTCCGTTATAAATTTTCTCATCAACTCCCCCAACCCTCTCCTAAGAAAGGAGGTTTTTAAAGAATTATTTATATAATTTTATTTATCATTATTATTTTTTTTAATTTGCCTTTGGGCATGTGCACTTACTGGAGAGAGACTGGGTGGGGAGGGGCAGTGAGAAAGCAAGCCACTAGGTCCAGGACTTGAATCGTAGTTGGCCATGTGTGCCTTAAACATCACACTACATGCTGGCCTAAAGGGTGTGGCTTTTTTTTTTTTTTTTTTTAAAGGAAACATCCCACTCACTATGCTAATGGAAAAGCTATTAATTTTTTCCTCTCTACTGTCTCTCTACATGCGTATATTAGCATAATTTTAATACACATTCAATTATTCTCTTGTTGTTTCTTAAGTTATTGTTCTTAGTGTTGTAATTTTTATCAGGCTGATCATGTGGTTGTTGATACATATCTTTTCAGAGGATGGTGGTAGTTAGCATTGTCTCCAACATATGAACTGTTCTGTTAGATTGGTACTTAATATTGTAATTGATAGTCTTGAGGTTTTTTTTTTTTAAGAATTAATTTTATTGTTTATTATTTAGTTTAATTATTACAGGGCACATTTGATCACCAGAGACAGAGAGAAGAGGAAGAAATTAAGAAAGCAAGCTATCAGATCTGGGACTTGAACTGTGGCCAGCCATGTGGGAGTTCAGGACCTCAACTACTACGCCACCTACTGGCCCTCTTGATTTCTTTTTAAGAGTACATTGGGGGGGACCAGCAGTTGGCGTAATGTAATGGCTATGTCACTGGATTCCCATGTAGTTGACTGTGGTTCGAGTTCTGGACCCGGTGGCTTACGGTCATGCCAGGCGTGCCTGCCCAAGATGCATGCCCAAGATCCCGAAAGAATGGAGGAGAAGGGATTACGGAGTGGCCATCCCCCTTGGGGGGTGATTTCTCGCTTTCTGTCTCTCTGTTTCTCTCTGTCTTTCTGGTGAACGCATGGGCCCTATAACAAAAACTTCTTCAAAAAAAATAAAAAAAGAGTACCTTGGGGGATCTGGCAGGTGGTGTGGTAGTTAAAGGCACTGGATTCCCACATGGCCGACCACAGTTTGAGTCTCAGACATGTTGGCTTGCTTTTTCACTTTCCCTTTCTCTCTCTCTGGTCAAATTAAAATAATAATAATAATAATAGTAAATGGAATTAAACCAATCAATTTAAAAATTAAAAATCAAGAGAGTACTTTAGGGACCAGCATGTGGCATAATAGTTAAGGCGCTGGACTCCCCTATGGCCAAGTCCTAGACCTGGCAGCGTGAAATTCACACCAGGTACATGTGTGTGCTTGCCCAGATTCCCAGGAGGAATGGATTGGGGTGTGGCTGTTCCCTTCCATCCCCTCCTCACTGGAGGGGATTTCTCATTTTCCCTCTCACTGTCTTTCTTTTGTGAGTGTACACACTCCAGCCAAAAAAAAACCTGTAAATGTACTTTTATTTTTTAAATGTACTTTTATTTTTTAAAAAGTACATTTATAGGGCAGGCCCATAGACTAAAGGTTAGGAGAGCTGGATCTTGCGTGACATGCCCAAAATCCTGACAGGATGGAGAGGAGGAGGAGACGAGTTGCAGCTTGAGCACGCACTAATGGGTGTCTTATCCCTTCCCCTTCCCTTGACTCTCTGTCTCTCTCTGGTGAGCACATGCTACCCTTGGAAATGAAAAAAAAAGAAAAAAAAAATTTGTGAACCAATCCTTGGAAAGTGAAGTCTGAGGTCAGATAAATTGGAAAATCATTACGTACCAATTCTGCATCCTGGAATTCCAGAATGCTCATTAGCATATTACTTGCTCTAAGAAATACTGTCTTTAACCCAATTTTACTCAGCATTTCTTAAATGTAATTAATAGAAATAGCCTTAAGAAAATCTTAGAATGTGGGACTAGTAATAGCATTTTGATAAATGTTAAGCCGAATTATTTCCATTTTTTTTTTCAAAATATTATTGATGTTATTTAATTTCTTCTTTTTCAATTTGACCACAGAGAGACAGACAAAGAAGGAGAAAGCAAGCCACCAAATCTGGGACTTGAACCACAGTCAGCCATACGGGAGTCTAGTACCTTCACCACCACGACACCTGCTGACCCCTATTTCAGATATTTTGATTTTTCCTTTATGTGGTAGTTTTAAAAAATAAATGTCCCTAGACTAGTAACAGTGTTGCAGGTCTCATAATTGCATGGTAGAAAGCCCTTAGGTTTTATTCATTTATTTCTATATTCCAGCTTTACAAACACTGAATGAGTTTAATTGTATTACTACTACTCTCAAGTATTATACTTTCATTTATTTAAGACACATGTCATTGCTTCTTTCAGGGAAGGTAGTGATACCCAGGACTTTCAAAGAACTCCAAAAGTGTGTTTCCCTCCCCACTTTTTTTTTAACCATGTGTTAGATCAGGCTTTATAATGCATGATCAGCTGCTAAGTCAGTATAGAAAGGAGTTTGAAAAGGCTTTTTAGTGGGTTTAATGTTAATATAAGTAGCATTACTACTTTTTATTCCCATTAAATGAAGTACTGTATTTGAGGTTATTTTTTTCAATAATTTTTTTCTTGTATTTTTAAGGTTAAGCTTTCCAGTCTGAATTTAGATGATCATGCAAAGAAGAAACTTATTAAACTTGTAGGAGAACGATACTGCAAAACCACAGATGTGCTTACCATCAAAACAGATAGGTAAAGGGGGCTGGCAGGTGGCGTGGTGGTTGAGGGTGCTTGATTCCCACATGGCCAACTGCGGTTCGACTCCTGGACCTGGCAGTTTGCTTTCTCGCTTTCTCTCTTTCTCTCTCTCTCTCACACACACACACACACACACACACACTCTGTCCCTCTCTGGTCAAATTAAAATGAATAAATAAACAGATAAATAAATAAAATTAAATAAAATAATTCTTAAAAAAACAAAAACCAGATAGGTAAAGAAAGAAAAGTTCAGTAGATTGGTCACATGTGTTTCTTTATTATTCTCCACTTTCCTGGCCATCATTTTTAAATAAATTACACTGAAGAGAGGGGTCTCCTTTTCTTATCCTAACGTATTATGTCAGAAAAGTTGTCTAATTCATAAGGGGAAATTTCTCACAGTAGCCATTGTTGCTGTAATCTGTATGTACGAGGCATGCTTAGCTACATTATTATTACTTTTAATCTTCATTTTAATATATTCATGTGTATAAAACCCAGGGAAGATGTTAGAAGAATACAACAGTATGATTTCTAGTGATTTTTTAAAAGTTTATGCATTTATTTTTCCATGAGAGGGAAAAGAGAGAGAGAGACATGCAGCTCCAACAAGGTCTTCACGCCGAGAGGCGCCCTAGTCTGAGCCAGACTGGATCATAAATGCACGCGTGTGTGCCCAGTGTGTAGGGAGGTCCCAGAACATGAACCAGGACCTTTTCCATGTGATTTCAGTTCAGTTACTTCTGAGCCAACACCTGTCCCTAATATGCTAATAAAACAGGTTTTTATGAAGTCAAGGCACAGGAAGTCTTACAGTTAAACTTCGAGTTATTAAATTAGGCCCAGCTGTAGTGACACAGGTGCCAGCATGTCACCATGCAGTGTTGGTAGCCATGTGGAAGGCTAGGTGTTCGGATCCCAGGACAGCCAGAGCATGCCATGCCCACACACATGTGCCCACACATGATCCTGGCTGCCCAGGGGGTGGGGGGGTGGGGGGATTGCAGCAGGATGAGAGCCTCTCAGACGTGCTTGCCTGTCAGCCTCTCTTTCTTATGAAAGAAGGAAACAGACTTTTAAAAATAAATTACTCAATTATGTATGTGGGAACGTATTAAGACACATTTGTAGAGTGCATGTTAGTGAAAGCACATATTAATTTATACGTTAGGTCATTTTTCATTTGAGGTGAAGAAAGATTGTTGCTGTTTTTCCTAAATGGTTATTTTATTTCAGAATTATACTTTGGTTGTCTCAAAATTATATTCAAATATAAAAGACTTGCCTTTAGAAAGTTGAGCGGGCAGCATAAAGTTTCATCATATACAAATAACTACATCAGTGATGAAAACAAAGAGAGACACCAGTGTTCAGTATCCTCAATTAATGAAAGGTATAGTCTGTTCTTATTCCAAGGACAGTTTTCCTCAAGCGGAAAGGGAATATGTGAAAATATGAATCTTCCACATGTAGTATCTTTAGAAATTTTTCAAATTACTCTTTACAATGAGTTTCTAGGATTTTGATCAACTCTCTTTCTTTTTTAAAGGTGCCCTTTAAAAAGACAGAATTATGATTATGCAATGTATCTGCTAACAGTTTTATACCATGAGTCTTGGGTAAGTTTGTCTGAATTTTTAACGTTTCTGTCAGTGTAACGTGAATGATGTTAACCTTTCAAAATATTTTGTGTGGTGTGTATTCTATCAAGTGTTTTGTGAATTGCTTAATTATCTAAGCATGTATGAAATGTCATGGGCCACTATACTGATATTATGGCTCTTGAGCCAGTAGGTGGTGTAGTGGGTAAGGTGTGCATGGCTGACCACACTTCAAGTCTCAGACCTGACACCTTGAAAATCACGCTGGGCACATGTGCATGTGTGTCCAAAATCCCAGGAAGAGAAGGGATTATGGTGTGGCTATTCCCTTTAGGGGGTGATTTTTCACTTTCCCTCTCACTGTCTCTGTATCCTTCCAGTGAGCATGCACCCTGTGGCAAAACACCTAAAACCTAAAAAAAAAAAAAAAAGTAAAGATCTTGAAATGAATTATTCATTCCATCTTAGGATCTTTCTAAAATTTGCCTAAAGTGCCCTTTTATTTTTTCGGAGATGTTTTTGCTATAGGGTGCGTGCACTCGCCAGAGAGACAGAAAGCGAGAGGTAACCCCCCAGGGTGAATGGCCATGCGGCAATCCCTTCTCCTCCATTCTCCTCTCAGGATTTTGGGCATGCACACACGCCTGGCGTGAGTTTAAGCCACCATGTCCAGGACTTGGAACTTTTGTCGACTACATAGGAGTCCAGCAATGTAGCCATTATGCCATCTGCTGGTCCCAATTTGCCTAAAGCGCCTTTAAAATTTAGAGTTTGTGACTTGGCTGGGAAATTTAGAATTTTTTACTTTTTTTTTTTTTAATTTTTTTTAAAGAGAGGTTTTTTCGCTATAGGGCACGTGCACTTGCCAGCAGAAAGACAGAGAGAGACACAGAGACAGAAAGCGAGAAATCACCCCTCCAGGGGGAATGGTCACGCCACAATCCCTTTTCCTCCTCTTGGGATCTTGGGCACGCATGCACACGCGCCTGGCGTGAGTTTTAAGCCACCGGGTCCGGGACGCGAACTGCGGTAGACTACGTGGGAGTCCAGCGACATAGCCATTACGCTAACTGCTGGTTCCCTACTTTGTTTTTTTGGTTTGTTTGTTTAACTTTGGGTGAACATTCTCAGTTATGGAAGAATAATCATCATCTATATACCAGAGAATTTTTAATTCATTCTGTCTTCCAAATAAATTGCAGGACAAAGCCCCCAAACTGTAGAAATATATTTTTAAACATTTATTGAATCTTTTAGTTATCACGTACCCTTTTATGTGAACATGTAATTGTTATACATTAGAGACAATTAAGGACAATTTATTATTTAAATAGTACTCAAAATAGTTGTATGACTGAGTTAATTGAGTTTTAGTATATGTATTTGTGAGGAGGAGTATCTTTTAAAATTCCTGATAAAGTGCACTGTGCACTTACAGCAGAGAGGAAGGGACCCTCTCCAGAGCTCAGACATATACATTCTCCTCCCCTTAGTCCTCCAGGCACCAGGGTCCTGGGCATGAATGCACTTGCCTGGCATGTTTTCAGGCCGACTGGGCCAAGGATTTCAACTATAGTGAGCATGTGGCTTGCATGTCAGCAGTCCAGAACACCACCAGTGGTGCCTCCGAAGCTGAGCCAGGGAAAAGTTTTTATGTTTGAGAACCAGCTCATCTGACTTAAAGCTGGTGACCAATATATTTAGATAACTCATAGGTTTTTTTTTTTTTTGGAGAGGTTTTCGCTATAGGGCACGTGCGTTCGCCAGACAGACAGAGACATAGAGACGGAAAGCGAGAAATCAGCTCCCATGGGGGATGGTCACACTGCTATCCCTTCTCCTCCATTCTCCTCTCGGGATCTTGGGCACACATGCACACGCGCCCAGCGTGAGTTCTAAGCCACTGGGTCTGGGACGCGAACCGTGGTCGACTACGTGGGAGTCTAGTGACATAGCCATTACACTAACTGCTGGTTCCCGATAACTCATAGTTTTAAATATTATTTGTAAGGGCCTACAGGTGGTGTAGTGGTTAAAGGCGCTGGATTCCCACAGGGCTGACCACAGTTCAAGTCCTGGACCTTGTGGCTTGTTTTCTCGCTTTCTCTCTCTTCTTCTCTCTTGCCCTCATCATATTAAAAAACAACAATAATGATAAATAAAATAAAGGAACTACTTCTTTAAAAATAAATAAATAAATATTATTTGTTAAAAAAAATTTAGGTACACGTACCAATTAGATTTTTTTGTAGCTTTCCCAACATAGATAAGGGCATTGATAGCATTTCAAATTACAGATTGACTATCCCTTATCCAAAATACTTAGGGCCAAAAGAGTTTCAGATTTTTTTGAATTTTGGAATATTTGCATAGACATTATAAGATATCTTGGGAGTGACACTCAAGTCTAAACACAGAATTACTTCATATACACCTTATATTATCTAACATGAAGGTAATGTTATTCAATATTTTTGTATTGGAGTATTTTGACTGCCATCCATCTCATGAGATTAGATATGGAATTTTCTACTTGCATTGCCATGTCAGTACTCAAAAAGCTTCAGATTTTAGAGCATTTTGGGTTTTGGATTCTTAAACTAGGGAAGCTCAACTTAAAGAAACAATTTTTTAAATTATCTATTTAATTTTATTTATTCATTCATTTATTTTAATTTGACCAGAGAGAGCGAGAAAGTGGGAAAACAAGCTACCAGGTTCGGGACTCAAACCATGGTCGGCCATGTGAAAATGCCCAGCACCTTAACCACCACGCCACCTGCTGGCCCCAAAGGAACAAATTTGAAAGGAAAAAAAGCTGGAGAAAGGGATCATGATAATTAGATATTCAGAGGACTTCAAATGAGAGCTTAGAATTGTTTTTTTAAGATGCTTAGCGGTACAACAGGGTGGGCACTGTTGTGAAACAGACTTCTGCTCACCAAGTGAGAACTTTTTTTTAATACCTGAAGTCATTACCTTGTTTATTTATTTATTTATATTTTAATTTGACCAGAGAGGGACAGAGTGAGGGGCGGCGGGGAGAAAGTGAGAAAGCAAGCCACCAGATCTGGGACTTGAACTGCAGTCTCCCATGTGGGAGTACAGCATCCTCAACCACCATGCCACCTGCCGGCCCCATAGTCAGTGAGAACTTTCTAAGCGAACCATCCACAGATGCAGTGGTAGGAAATGTTCCATGATTGGCCACTTAGTGGAGATAGGGTTAAAAATACTTATATTCCGGGAACCAGCAGTTGGCGTAATGGCTATGTCGCTGGACTCCGACGTAGTCGACCGCGGTTCGCGTCCCGGACACAGTGGCTTAAAAACCACGCCGGGCGCGTGTGCGTGCGTGCCCAAGATCCCGAGAGGAGAATGGAGGAGAAGGGATTGCGGCGTGGCCATCCCCTCTGGGGGGTGATTTCTCGCTTTCTATCTCTATGTCTCTCTCTGTCTGTCTGGCGAGCGCACGCGCCCTATAGCGGAAATCTCTACAAATATATATATTCTTTGGCTAGGTAGTTGCATTATTTAGTCTTTGGAACCTCCTTACAGCTCTGAGATACTATGAATCTGTGAACAGATTCTCTAAGCTACTCATAGCATTTTACTGATAATTATTAAAAGATGTTTTTAAGAATTATTTACTGAACTTTATTTATCATTGCTATTATTTTAAATTTTCTCTAGAGCATGTGCGCTCACTAGAGAGAAATGGAGGTGGGGAGGTGGGAGGGGTTGGGGAGCCGCCAGGTCTGAGATTCGAACCACAGTCAACCAAGTTGTAGTCCAGTACCTTAACCACCACACCACTTGCTGGCCCCAATATTAAAACAGTTTTAACAAGATGAGTTAAAAGCAGGAGGAAAACAAGAAAATTTACAGGGTTAATAAGAACAAAAGGTGGTTTGATAGCTCTTCTTATGTTTTGAGATATTTTCATTATCACAGTTCACTTTGATTTTCTAGTTTCTAGCAACACTGTCATAGCAATTCATCTTTCCTATGCATTGATTTTAGAAACACCTTTGGCTAAAATAATTAAGGCCCCCTTTGAACCAGTAACATGGCTGAATTAGCTATGGTTGCTACTTTTAAAAGAGTTGATAATAAACAATAAAAGCCGACCAATTTTGAGTCTTATATTTTGCCAACAGTCTGTAAAATTAATTTTCCCCAAAGGAAATGACAAGCATAAATAAATTCAGTAAAAGTTGACTTACTGGATTCTTTTTGTGGTTCCATGACATAGAATCCAAACAAGTTTGTATTCTGAATCCACGAAAGAATCCTTTGATTTTTAATACTAATTACTTCGATGCTAGGATATGTAGGTACATAAAACAGTCCTAAACTGATACAGTTAAAGAATTATATTAAAATTGGCCCATGGTCTTTTCTAAACAAGTACCATCAGTGAAGAAGCTTTAAGAGAATGCAGATGAGCCGTGTAATTTTGCAGAGCTGCTGGAAGAGAATTTTTATTGAATTGAAATTCTTTCTTCCTTCACCAACTCGGAATTCATACTTGATGTTACTACCTGGTATTTAATCAAATATTTAGAGAGAGTCCCTTTTAGTTCATAGCTTTATTTTTTTATAGACTAGCTTCTGAGCATTTAGTACCCAAATATGTTCTTTCCTTGGCTTTTCACCTTTCCATAGAGATTACCTCTAAAGAGCGTTGAGAGGAAAGTAGGTGGTTTTTCATAGCAGATATTACTGAACAGTGAGCGTTCAGACTTCAGTATAAGGACATTACTGTCGTATGGTAGTCAAAACAGCGTGAGCATGGAAGTATCAAAGTAGACTTCAATAAGTATAAGCATCACAAAGCAGCGGCTTTAGTAAAGAGGTTTGGTAATACTTCAGAGAATGCTTATTTGAGTGCTAAGAAGGCGATAAGAGACAAACACTAGACCATTCATCTGGCAGCAGTTCAAAGAAGCAAAGAGACTCAGAAATTTAGTTTAATATATCCATATTATATGTTGTTAGTATAGAGCAAGTCAAAT